AAAAAAAAAAAAAAAAAAAAAAAAAAAGAGGACACACAAATCTTCATGAGTTGGTCTAGGTTTTCTTCCATGGAAATCTGTCAGACTACACCTGAAAATATGTCTACATAAAAGTCTGAATAGAACATTTAATTTCAAGCTAAGCAAATTACACACAGTATTAAAAATATTTTATGCAATGTTTGTGGGGATGAGTGATCTCTCTTGTTAGGCCAACTGATACATGGGAAAATACAGACTTTGAATCATAAGCAGCTCCATAAATTTATTGCTAAATATTTTAGGTATGAAAAATCACTCCTGATTAAGTCACCCAAACCAAAAAGCCTTTTTCCAATTACTATTCATCAATTCTACTTATAGAATGAAGAATAAAAGGGAAGATTTTACTATTATTACTGACTCAGAATGTTTTGTTTCTGTATCACTTTCAAAGAATGTTCAGAACATCTTGTTCCAGAGTATTTCCCTTCCAAGAGAAACCACTTTCTGTAATATACATGGCTGAAAACAGTACATGCCATTTTTGTTTTCTTATGAAAAATAGAAACTATCCCAAAGTATTTCCAGCATCCCTTGAATGGGATGCAAAGTAGCTAAGTGTTACAAACATGGGACACAAGATTGGAATAATATTTCAATACAATCATGACATCTTAGAGAAATTACCTTATTAATAGACATTTGTAACAAGCCAAAGCAAGTTTACCATTAAACATAACTTTATAAAGTCTGACTCAAAATCTATTCACTAACCAAAAGCAACATACTGCAGTGTTTGCAGGGATGATGAAGTCTACACTAGGCTCAGGGGAATACCCTTTACATTTGATATTCCCATGTGCTGTTTTCAAATTACAAAAGATTAATCATCACATATTTGTCAGTTAAGAAGCAGCCACATAAATGAAGACACTGAAATGGATTGTTACCAAATTGTAAGCATATAATATGAAGCTTACAAAGCATGCATTCCTCAAGCATTTCTTGGTTTGAAAAGCTAAGAGACAGTCACAAAAAGCATACCATACATCTTCCCAGGCCCTGTAAGTAGAGAACACAGACTGCCTTGTGCCTTTATATCATATGTAAAGCTCATGAGTTAAAAACTACTGGATAGTCATCAGACGCCTATGAAAACAGGACACTCATTTATTCTAAGATGTAACTGAACTGCTATTTCCATATAAAATACTAAATTGATTTAACAAAATGTTACATTTTTAAAGAGATCACCGATCACAAAGTAAACTAAAAGCCTATACCAGAAGATTCCCCATTAAGTAAAGTTCATAGTACAAACACATTCTGGTGTCAGTCTTCTTTCTTCCAGGGGAAAAAAAAAAAAAAAAGGGTGCAACTCATGTACTGCAAATATTGCACAGACCCAAAAGATGGTGGCCTGGTACAGCTTGTCTGGTCTGGATGAAGCATAATGTGAGCAATACCAAACCAAACGTGATTCTCCTGTCCCTTTAAATCACAGTTTAAAATCCCCGTTCCTCCAGATTGGTGAAATTTTGCTCTTGTATTCTGTAAGTGAATGCTTTCTACAAAGTTACCAGAACTCTATTTTTTCCATTATATCTTGGTAAAAATAGTTTTAAATAAAACTCTAAAATATCCATTCATGCTTTCTTGCTAATAAAATTCCTATAATCACAGCTTGCTACTATGGAGACATTGTCTCATGTAAGTTTTTTAATTTTCTTTACATTTAGAGTCAAGGCTATCAGCTTTACTTGGGAAAAGAATACGTAAGATATGTTGTCACCTAAACACAACTGTGCTGTTTGTTCTTAAAAGTTCACCACCTCCCTACAATTCAGATGCACAATAGATGTCAAATTCTTACCCACCATAATAAAATGAAAATGCTCAGTCCCAGGCTAAGAGGTCTGGATTAGAATCAATGACATAGGTACAATTGGCATACATCTAGTAAGTTACGTTCTATCTAAAAGTTCTTGGTATAGTGGGGTGGTACCCTTAACACGTGGTAGTACATGTCCCAATATTGCCAATATTTCAAATAAATACTGTCCCAGCATGCCAATATTTCAAATAAAATCTAAAATATAAGAAAACAGCATTCACTGTGGTCCCAAGAGAAATCCAGCAAAAGGGAGACTGATAAAGAACTGAATTCCCAGGTGGTGATGGAGAGAGAGATAACACAGTTCAGTGTCAAAGTGACTCAGAAGGAAATTTTTTCAAATTCATCTTACTCTGACCCCAAAGAATAGTTACCAAAGAAAACTGAAATTAATTTGACAAAAGTGGAATCTTGAAAATTTCTATTTTGCACAGGCATATTTTTCACTGATGAGTTTTATCATCTTTAACTAAAAAACTCTTTCCTAGCTCTGCTTTGCCATGGCAGCCAAACAGGTAGTGTGTAAGCAAGTTCTAAGTAAATCTTTGTCAGGACATCATCAGCTGTGTGGCTTCCTTCAGTTCAAAAGGGAAGAGGCTTTGTTCTGGAGCCAAATACAAGGTTTTTTTCCACAAAACTTCATGTGTATATAAACCTTACTTTAAAAGTGCATGCTTCATATGTATTTTATGCTGGAATGCTCCAAGACAAACAGAAAAGACTATTCCAGAAACAGTTTAAAATAGGAGAATTTGTTAACATTAAAAATAGCTAAGAAACCCTAGAAAAGATCAGAAAAATAAATTTCATTAACTTGTCATCAAATTCATGAATGTTGTAAAGGTGAAAAGTTGTGGAATAAAGAACCCTAACAATGCTACAAAATTTATCTTAAAGGAAATCACTTCAGACTGGTCCATTTACTCCACTTAGCTGTGAGAAGACACAGAAGTGGTAGATGGTTTTAAAGTGGATTTTCTAGAGGGCTGCTGGGTTGGTTTTGTGTTCGAAGGTTTTCTGCAGTCAGTGTTACAACCCTCCTGTTTTTACAAACTTGAAATGTTCTTGTCACTCCAGCAGAGCTGCCACAGGATCTAAGGAAAAATTGCGCTGTTTACACTTGGAAACCTTATTGCTGGCAGCAGGCTAATGGCACCGAGGAGATATTTAATCTTTTGAAAGGAAGTAACTAATGAAACCAACAAACTCCAGCAAACTCCTGCATAAACAAACACAACAGAAGCAAAAACCACAGAAGCAGTTTGACAGAAATGCTGTTGCACAAGTTCAGTGAGCTTAAGGAAAATTTCTTCTAGGAAATAGATACTTAAGACAATCACAAAACATTTTGTTTCTGTTAAAAATTCTGTAGAGGGATTAAAAAAAGCAAGGGACATAATCCTTTCCCTTTGCCTTGTCTTCATTTTCAAACTTCTAGTCTTAATCATTAAATTGATAAGACAACAGTTTGGAGAGTAAAAGAGAATGGAATTGTACCAAAATCTGGTCTTCTCAGGAGAACAGGATATATGACAGTGCATCTATTCATACCTTGTCTATCATGTCCGGTCTGTTTGTAGCTGCCAAAATTGTCACGTCCTTCAGCTGTTCTATCCCATCCATTTCCGTTAACAACTGAGCCAAGACACGGTCTGCTACATTTCCAGCACCTGAAGAGCTGATTTAAAAAAAAAAAAAGAAAGAAAGGTCACAGCATTAGCTTTCCCTTCCTAGAAAACTGGAGAGAGGAAAGAATATACCGTTCTTTTTAATGTACAAGGAACCATCTTTTTATCTTAATTCTTTCTATTTTCACCTTCAATCCCTAAAACAGTATCAGTCATATGAAGTGAGTAAAAGCAAATCAGAGAATTAGTCCTTCAAGGTTTCTTGGTATTCAGTAAAGGAACTAAGGTTTTTTTACTTACTACCCAGCTATGTAGGTTGTAAAGAATTTAACACAGTGTGGATGTCTGGAATAAACATTTTTAAGATAGCTGAATTCATGCAAGCTTCTTTACTAAATCAGACAAACTTCCATTTTTAGCACCATCCAAGTGAGTGCTTACACCACTCTATGCAGTATAAAAAATTAGGTAGTTATGTATTTTGCAGAGTTGCTCTACATTTTTGTTTTCCCCATCAAATGAGCATAAATTGAGTGTTGACCAACTGCCTCATAATAGCACTGTCAGCCCTTTAACTCAGCTAATTTTCCAGATACCAGGAAAAAAACCCAAGACTGAGAAAGAGAAAACTCCAGTTTTGAAATCACCAATATGTGAAAAGCCTAAACAGACAAGGCATAAACTATTCTAGGCATCCATTTTTTTTTTAGTTTGGAATTAACTCTGGTAACCTTGAAGTTTACGGAAAATTTGCTCACATTGCTTAACTACGTGTAACAAAAAAGCATTATAGAAAGAACCTATTATTTTCATTAAAGCTTCTAATATTTTAAAAAGAATAACCAAATAATGTACCACCTTCTTCCTAGACAATTCTATGACAAATAAACGTGTGTGTGTGTGTGTGTGTGTGTGTACGTATGTATGGATGTGCGCATATATTCACAGAAGTAACAAAGAATGCAGAAAAGGAAGATATGGCATAAATCAAATTAAGAGACCAAGCACATATGTTGTGATAAATAATACATGTCATGAACAGTTGTGTTCTTTTTAACATCCTAATTCTATACAAAGAGGCTTTATTTCTGAAACATTATATAAAACAGGTGACTGCACACCATATAATTTTTTAGTTTTGAAAGAATACTGGACCTAGGAGATACGAGGACCATGCACAGATAACTGCATACACTCATACGTTGGCAGACACACTACAAAAATGATGTACATGTGTTCCTTGTAGCATCCAGCTCTGTATAAATACAGGGGGGCCAGGGTGAGCACAGGCGGCAGCTTGCCCCAGAAGTTCCCTCTGCTGAGGTGGGATAGAGAAGCTGAAGCTGCCGGGGAAGGCAGCTTGGAATTGCCAGACAGCACTGAAAATGTGGGCTTTATTAGCCTTTACCAGAAACCAGGAGCCCTACTCTTGGCACATGCCAAAAGCCTTGCTGGTTTTGACACAAGGTTCCCTTGCGGATGGCATGCACAAACTTACCTCTTCTTCCACCCAAGGGACTGCTCTTCCAGGGTTATTCCCCCCTCCATTACACAGGGGAAGGTTTCATTGCTCTACCTTTAAACAGGTCCTTTTCAATACCATTTAAAAAAAATTAATCTCTCCAATTCTTCTGGATCCCTCTAACTTCATACTAAGAAGTAAAAAGAAGTTTGATACTGGGCTTCTTCCTGTAATGTACATTTTTCTACTGTCACCCCAAATCTACATAAGAATAAAAAAATTTTTTAATCTCAAATTTTTTTCAAAGTCCTTTTCCAAAAGTACTCTTAAATGTTTATACAGATATACAGGCACCTACACATACAAACTCAGTATAATTATCCTGCTGAACACTAGTTTCCAAGAAGAAATACTAGATTTTAAAGTAGAAGCACTCCAATTACTTCCAAAAGCTAAAAAATACACACATATAGTTGCATAGTTATTATGCACATATATTGCTGCAGCACTGCCATGCACCGCCAGCACACCTGCAACCAATGTGCTTCCTAAATGTCCCAGAGCCAAAGCAACAGTAATGACTCCATCACTGCTCTACAGTTCACCTCCAAATAAATTCTCTAACTTTCCTATTCTACAACTGGTTCTGTAATTTTCCTGGGAAAAACAGTTAACTTATCAGACCCAGTCTGGAAAATATCTTTGAGGAGCTATAATAAACTCTGGCTAACAGAATATTTAGGTTGCTAAGAAATATTAGAGAAGGGACTTGGGTTAGCTAGTAGTCATTTTTTCAGTTTGCTGCAGCCACATTAGAAATTCCCCAGTGACATTAGAGCATTTCTAATATTACCCATGGGTCAAGGTCCTACTGACTTATAGAGGGCTGAACATGATAAAACACTTCATGTGTTGGACAAGGATAGTAAATGCTTTTCGAAGGACACAGAGCTTAAAGGAAATTAAAATCAACTTTGTAACATAAGCTAGTCTCAGTAGGGATTCAGGCCTCCCATCTTGCAGAAGTTTCACATTTTGACTCTATACACCATAGACTGCAAGGAAGAAAAAGCTAAGCAGAGGAAAAAAATAATTGTAAATCTGAGACCAAAATGTTAATATTCTATGAGATGATCTGAAGCTAAAAGTCTTTGGGGGAGATGCTAAACTTTTTTTTTTTTTTTTAAAGAAGTGACAAAATATTTGGTTGTAAAGAGGGGTGGCTAGAAAGAATATTACCTCTTTCCCAAATATAAACATTTCTCTTACAAGCTTCAGACTGAAAAAAAAATAAAGAACTGTTTACTCTAAAGACCCCCACTGTTACAGGGGAATGTACATTGCAAAGACTTTCATGCAATTAGGGCATAATCAGAAAATTGCAATTAAGCAATCACTGATGGCATAATACTGCTCAAACAACGAAGGGGGGGGGGTACCAGTGCATTATTAGGGGCATTATTATTATTATCTGCTAAAAGTGGAGTAAAACAAAATTTAAAACCATGCATGCAAAAACTAAAAAAAAAAAACAAAACAGTATAAAATGAAGATGTGTCTGGGATCTATGACACCAAGAATTTCCAATTTCAGTGCTTTTATTTACATAGTTCACCAAGCTGTCATACGATGCACCATTTTTAGCACAGAGTCCAGAGCAAATTAGCTTTTGGCTTAACAGGATACCCTATAAAAATCACAGGCAGGCACAGGTTTACAGTGAGAGATCTCTTTACCAGCTGCTCAGAGCTGCACTGGAGCTGCACCACGCACTCAGAGAGTTCTAGTGCTGCCCAAGCTGTTAATCTGAAGGGTGACGCTCAAGTATGCGTTTTTCCATTTTCCCATGATTTCCCAGCAAGGGTTTCAAATTAACACAGGCAACGTTCATTAAGGCTGCCCGGACTTTTGACGCAAACGGCAGCCAGAGAAACAAGTTATGATTAACCCTCCAGTCCCATGGAGGCACTGCCAAAACCAACTTCCAGCCAAGGGGCTGTCTTTGTGTGTGTGTCCCCCCCCCGCCACCTGACCTCCACACGTTGATGTCATCATTACAACTGCATGGAAATAGTCCTCAAAAGGCACGTCCTGGTACAAACTAATTTCCTGTCAACACGCCGCCTGCAAATCCAGGCAGTCAGAAATAAGCCCCTCACATAATCCATGCACGGCCATGTGTGCACGGATGCGCGTATGCAAGAGCCATGCCCTAACCAGAAATACCTTGAACTTCAAAATAAAAAAATGTGTGAGCAAAGAGGAGTCTGGCTGCTCCACAAGGGCCTGAGAATTTCAAGTAATCTCTTGTGTTGCCCTAATGAAATACATCAGCCTGTAGGTTATGTGTTATTTTAATCTTTTTGCCAACCCCTCTTTCATTAAAATCCTCAATGAAGTAGTTTTAAAGGCAAAAAATGTCTTTGCTTACTCGTTTATTACATCAGTTAGAGCCAGATATCCTCCCCTCTGTGGTATTTCAGCTAATCCTGCAAGTGTCCCAGCAGTCTCAGTCCAAGCACACATGTGCTCCAGCACAGACACTTCACTTGGACCATCACAGCAGCTTTCTGAATGGCAAAAGCCTGTCAGGTAAGACTATCTGTGTATTGAAACAGACTACTGAATATGAACACCAAAACCAACCAATTTTATTTTAGCTAAAGGCACTTCCGTTACACATTTTGACAGAATAACGCATACATTCTACAGTGTACCAAAGCGTCACAATTAAGGTGAATTAATTCTGGCCTTGTCTGATGGAACTGAGAGATCGCAAGCACCAGCTCCAAATTCAGTATAGAAGGTGACGGCTCTCACAGCACCTTTTCTTTTTCTTATGTCCTTTCACCTTATCCAATGACCATTCTAATGGGTGTCAGTGAGCGTGGACATTTCCCCTTGAACATCTTAAGCCACTCTCATACTTCTTCCTAGGGATATGAAAGCAACTGCAGCCTGATTCTGTCATTGCATCAAGGAGTACATACAGTTCACTAGCTTAGATAGTTCTTCAAGCCAACGAGACTTTTCTCCCAGACATAATCAGGTGTATGAAGTCACCAGATTTAAATATGTTACCCTTTCTGCTATGGGCATTTTTTGACAGCAACTGACTTCTTGTTCTGTACATTTTTACTTATTTAACTTCCTTTTCTTCTTCTCCCCCTCTCTTATCTAACAGATTTTTTTAATATTTAAAAACTCAAAACAGTCTAAGAATGCAATCATTACTATTTCACCTCAGATGAAACTTGGTAAGCATCACCACTGTGAGCCAATGCAAATGTACACTTACATCACCTGAGAACCTAGAACACTTCCAAAGCCAATGGAATGAATGTTTTTTCAGAACACCAGATGTCATTTTCATTGGAAAATGTTTTTAAATCTCAGTTACCATTTAAATTCTGTAAAGGAAAACCAGTGACTCGCCATCCCACCACTGATTTCAGTGGCATTGAAGCCTGTCTCAACACCTTAGCTTCAGAACCAAGACCTTAATTTAGTTATGCTGCTAAAGTGTAGACATGGAAATGTAGGAAACATTCACACAACAACATATGAGCACTCTTAAATTCACAGCAA